AAATATAGATCTTGGTTTTAACTTCAAAACGGTATAAAGTGCATCCGAATCCGAGTTCCGTAGCTTCAGTTATGACCAAAACAAGATCGGTTGTCAGAACTGCCTTCTGATTTGGACAGTTCTGACAGGAACTTTGAATCTCTTTTTCCCTATGCTCCATACTGATTCAGCTTTTGGTCAAAACACAAAAGTTATAGCCTTATAAATAAGCTTTCTATTGACTCTAGAATTTATTGATTCCAATTTCTGAGTCGTGAGTTATGGTCTTTCAAACAGGGCCTGTTTGATAACCCGAAATGAAATGGTTGGAACTGTTTTGCACATTTTTGTCCTAGTTCCATTGGGATCTGACCTGAGGTGCCTTTATGAAAGTTGTAGCCCTTCTTTTTAGCTTCGTAACAGTATCTCATGTACTTTGATCCGATAACCGTAGCCTGAAATTTGATCAAAACGATTTTAGGTGCCAAATCTGACCGTTTCCGTTTGCCGTTTCCGCGCGTACGTGTGTCCATTTTGCCGTTTCCGCACTTGCATGTGCCGATTTTGCCATTTTACTTGAGTTATGCATGTTAGTAGCCGTTTGTGATATATTGTGATGCAATCTTCTGTTTCAGACGGTGACGGGTTAGACGGTGCCGGTGGGGCCTACTAGCTGTATACGTGACGTGATCCTTGCATTTTTGCAATACGTACTTTTGAAGTAAGTATTCGGGCCGTTTTGTATATATAACTTGCTTATGTGTTTTGAGGTGAATGAAAGGGTACCTAGGCGAGGGTGTACTTTATCGCATTCGACCTAAACCCTAATTTACATGCATATTTATACATGACATGTCTAAATGAATTGTTTTGGGTTTGAACCCCTTGAACTTGTAGCTCGGGGTGACGTTTGTGAGTTGGGGTCGATCTTCTGACCAAGATGGACTATTCGAACCAGCCGGGGCTTTGTCGAAGCCATACCAACCTAGTTTGAGGTTACCAAGTTTGTGAATCCGGTTCACCGAGAATGTGAACCAAGTTTGTAGGTTCAAGTTGTGAACCAAGTTTGTGAACCGAGTTTATGAACAAAGCTCAATTTCGTTCGTTCGAGCAAGTTTGTGAGGTGACTGGCCAGTGAGGGTGATAAGGTGTTAGGTGGGAGTACAAGTGGAGTTCTACGGACCTTATTTGTGGTCGACGGAGTCTCGGCAGGAGATCACGCATGGCAAACGACTTGGCTTTGGAGCCAACCTGTATTCTTCATTTGTATTGTTACTTTTGCACTTGACTTGACATTTTGTGAAATAGTTGTTTATCTAAATGTGCAATTTACGATTTTACCCATGTTTATTTACTAAGCGTATAGCCTACCCCGTTTCCTTTGTTTTCCTTAGCAGGGGGCGACGCGGGGAAACTCCTTGGCACATTCACTAGTATAGTTAGGTTTAGTTTGTAATAGTTGGACAATTAAGATGTTTGTTATTGTTTTGGTGGTTTGTATAAGGACCCTCCTTAGGGTCTACTTCCTGCTGGTTGTTATCATAATGTAATATAATGGATTGACTCGCTGCTTTTGGGGATGTAAATAGAATTTTTTGTTGGAGTCGGCTATAATGTGAATAGTACGCTTTTGGTTTACCTAGTTTTTATTGTTTTGAAATTTCGAGTCCTGGCGCAAGTTAGGCAGGCGTCCCGCCGATACCCTAGGGTTCGCCCTTGGGAGAAGCGGGGGCGTCACATCATACCTCTTATTTCTTATATCTCCAAACCAAATTTTCCAAACAAGTCTTTGCTGGAGATTATTTCTAGAAAAGTGGCAAAAATAAATTCTGCCCTTGCCCATAAGGATATAAACGAGTCTAATTAAACAAAATATCTAATGTTCAAACTCGTATAATTATTTTAATGAGTTTGAAATTTTGTTCAATATTGACTTGTTTATTTGCAAATGAATTTATTTATGAACTTGAAAATTACAAGGGTAATTGTACAAACCTCCCCTACGATTTTTAATTATTGTAGAGAACTCCTCTCAAGTTTTAAAAATTACATATACCTCCTTATTTTTACTATTTATATAACAATGTAAGCCCAACAAGTTAGATTCTCTCTTAAAAATCTTAAACTACCCTTTTGTACAAAATAAAAAAAGAAAAATATAATAAACTGAATCACCTTTTTTTTCATATTTTGCACACATCTGCTATCCTAATATTTAACAACTATCCAAACACAAACTCTAGTTCCAAGTCCAAGTAGTTGTCTAAAAAAATCCTAAACTGCATACACAGTATCAATGCTTGTCATGGAAAAAAAAAGTTACACACACACACACACATACCCTCCTCACTTATTGATAACTAATTTTATGCTCCAAAATTAAATCTCAACGACTCCAACACCTTTGCAATCTAGTCTAGAACCACCATTATAACACTTTTATGTTCTTAAAAATATGAACATCTAAGAAGTAAAAAAATAAGTTCCACCTCTATACCAAAATCATAACCAACAATTACTAATCCAACGAAAGAAATCCGTATGCAAATTATTGATATTTTACAAAACTTTTTCTTGATAATAGACAAAATACTACAATTTCGCATCTTTGGTCATTTTTCTTATTTTAATAATCAATTTCATTATTTATTTCTCTATTATTGCGAGCCTCTTCATTTCTTTCTAATTTGACACATATTTTGCTCCTTTGGTGATTTTACAATCTCAGTTTGCTAATATTCATAAAACTGAAAATAATAAAAAATGGCATAGTAATATAATATCTAGAAAAGAAAAGGGCGAAAATAGACACGAGAAAGAAAAATATGATTTGTTTTGGCTTTATAAATCTGTTGTCTTAAACTGTGAATTGTTTATCTTCACCATTATAGGTACTTTACTATGCCAAGTGATATAAGTGTAAATGTTTAAACCTGAGAGGAGCCGAGCGAAATTGTCAGAAATCGGAGGAAGGTTTCTGATATTATCTCAACATAAAAAGATGTTCTACTTTAAATCGTATTTATTAACTTGACGTCTCTAGGAACGGAATAGTAGAATATAAGTATACTAAAGCAGTAATTAATGCGTATTCTTGAAATTGATGAAGCAGCTTCTGCGGCTTTGATTACGTTATTCGTCTGTTAGTATCTTTTTAAGGAAGTCCGGAGTAGTATTATCTACAGAGCCTCGGAATTTGAGCAACCCCCTATTTTCCTGGACGAGGGGCCTGGACGGTTGTCTCTTCCCAGGCAGTTGACGGCCTGGATGAAGCTAAAAAAATTTGTGCGGTTCAGATCACGTCTTGTAACTCGATTTTCACGCCGTGTGGGACCCACAAAAATGGTGTTTTATTTTACTCGCTGTTGTTCAATTGTTACACATTGTACAGATGATGTTACACCATGTACAAATGGTGTTACAACTTCCGGAGCGGTTGTTCTGACAACCGCTCCAGCCCCGCGTCCTATTTTCCTTTATCACCGCCCTCAAAACTGCCACTCTCAGCTCGCCATGAGGTCATTGTTGACTTGAAGTGTGGAGGACTTGTTAAAAAGTTTGCTTACAAATTCTGCATCGAAAATGATACAGGGCCAAGCTGCATCTGGGTAGGGAATCATCTTCATGTTTCTAAGTACAACCACAAATTTGCTGTCGATCTAAAGCTGTATCTTGGGAAGCGTGGAAAAATGGTCGGAAAATGGGATAGGATTTTGACGATGACATTAGCAATTAACTTTCTTTTTTCTTTTGGTTTTGCGGCCAAATAAAGTAGCAATTTGCCTATTTCACATAGACTTGCGGTAAACGGCAAAGGGTTGCCTGTTTGAGCCATCCAATTATAACTAAACTGGTATGGCTTTGCACTATCAAGGTCTGTGTATTTCTGTAAGTTGTAACTAGTAATTGGCAATACTTTGTGCTAAAAATGGAAAAAAGATGGAAACTGGCCACTGGGGACAATAAAAACAAGCAAGCCAGGCTTCAACTTGGCTTGTACAAGTCATTAGTAGATTGATGGAGGACATTGTAGACAGAATCAATGGTTCAGAAACAGAATGTTGATTCTGAAACCTGAAACCTAATCCAAGCAAAAGGATTAAAGGAATCTCTCACATGTGAATACGGACATGGATCAGATTGCATGTTATCCTATCTACTTCACAAAAACTGATGGTGCAGACAATTTTGTCATGCAGTGAAAACTGATGGTAAGTTTGGATTGCAGTTCTTGAAGATGCGCATTATAAAGGGTCCTTTCCAAAACATCCACGCAAGTAGGGAAGAAAGCACATTAATTATGAAGGTATATTGATGATAGAACCAAGATCGGATCCTTCAAGGATTCCATTTCCAACCTACTACTATGAAGTGCTTGAATGTTTTGCTCGTGAAATTCATCAGATCATAAGATTCTGAATCCAGAAACTCTCAAAGTTGATCAAATGGAAAGAGAAAAAATAGCTTCAAGGCACTGAAAATGCTGAAGAGGAGAAATGGCACGCACCAGAAACAGGACACGAACCACACTCAACAAGAGAAAGAATCATACGATTGAAAGAATCTTGCCCGGAATTTGACTTGGTATTAAACTCCAGGCTTAAGGAAATAGTTAAGTGCAAGTGGAAAGATAAAATTTTTCATATAATTGAAAGCTGGTTGAATAATTCCATCAGTATTCCACAAACGTAAAATAAAAAACTCATATCTGATTTGAGCATCGGAGTAACCTCAAGGAAGAAACCCTTGTCAATCTTGAATTTCTATTTTGGAGTGCTCAGGTCGGATTATCTATTAATTCTCTTACAAGGACAGCTTATCCTCTGAGATCAGCTCAGTTCAAACCCGCTTTTACAGTCTCAATGACCTATTTAATCCAGCACTGGAATTGTCTTTGGTCTGAGCTTTTACATATTGCGTAATGTTTACAAATGTGGATGAGAGACATACTCAAGGTTAAACTGGTGTTGGAATTCTTGGAGATTTATATGTGCAGGGGTTCAAGGTTCCAGTACAAGAACTTCCATAAAAGAGATCGCTTAAAGATTTTATTGATCGCAGAACCAAGTCTACACTTTTCAACTACATTATTCCGACCTATCTCTAAGTACCACTACCATAAACTGCCTTTTTTCTTTTCATAGGAACCTAATCAGCTAGAACTAGAAGGATCCCTTCATCTTCTATGTACTCCAACAAAAGATTCCCAACCAGAAAACCGTAGATGGTCAGTGGGGGAAAGAAAAGCTCACCAATCATCAAAAAGCTAAGATAACAAGCAGCAGCAATGAGCACCAGGATCATAACTTGGAGCAAAATGAGAAAAACTCAACGTACAGTATTCCGAACAGCAAGGAGAATCATATCATCTGATTTTTTGCTCGTCTTAAATGATCAAGTTTGAAGTGAAAGACCACAAGAATAGAGTGGTAACAACAGCTTCCACTCCACACCATTGCTTTCCACTACGATTTCCATCACTGTGCTGTTTAGCGTTTGGTCCTGGACTGGCTGCTGCAGGGGAACCAGCAGGACTTGCTCCAACTGTTAATAAAGCAGTAAAATGGTTCAAGTCTTGTACTAAATCTAATTGCAGAAATCATCCAAATCATCCATTTGAACATTCCATTCACCAATTAAGCCATTAAGTATCCTATTGTAATTGTACTGTGTATATAAAATACTTTTTGTTTCCTGTACCTGTTCCAGTAGGACCGCTTACAGGACTACCAGCAATACTGCTAGATGCATGACCGTTCTGATAGAAAACCTGTGCATCGGGTGAATTAGGATCCAAGTGGAGCAGAGCTGCATATTCACAGCCAAATTCAGAGGAAATAATCGCAATCAAAGATGCAAAAATAAAAGCAGCATAATCATCAAAATGATCTTAATTATGCTGCTCTATCTAAAAGAATTGTCAGTTCAAATTTCTGGGATTTTCGGTTTAAATGCTTTTGTTCTTCAATATAGGCTAAGTCTACTCACCAGGGCATTCAGAAACATTGGCAGGGGCATTACAGACTGATGGTAGGCCTAGAGCGAGTGTAACATTGATGCTGAGGCCTAAGTCTGGATCATTTCGATCTTTGATTACGAGACACAGACACTTCTTGTTGGTCTTGAGGACTTCTTTCAAACCACTGCAACAATCTGGTGTTGGGAATTTTGCATTTCCACCAACATAAGGTAAACATGTGGCTAGCCCAACTAGAGCATTTGTACATTCTTGCTTATCCTTGGCATCATCAGAAATTGCACATTCGAACATCAGTGACACCAACGCTAGCGTAATCAAACACAATTTCCCTTTATTCGACTTCATTTTCAATGCCATAAGCTAGAGAATGAGAAGTTTAGCAGCCCCTGGTTATGTAATATATAGATTAAATAGGGAGAAGGCCAAAAAGTGCTTGTGGAAAGATGAAATATTGTATCTTTGCCTTTCATCCGGTTGAATCATTAAGCTCACTTCCTTGTGTTACTTGGCACAGCATGATTGATGAAAGCATGGCGGATAGAAGAAAACAAATGTTTTTTGGGATGAAAAAGTGAGAGGTGGCAATCATGCTCAGTTTTTAGTGGCTGAAAAGTGTTTAAACATTCTTTACTCTTCAGTTCTCTGTAGAAGAGATTTTTCTAATATTCCAAGGATTTCCTAAAATTTCAAGGCAGCATATGATGACCTCACAAGAAAAAAAAATTGAAGAGCTTTTGTTTACAAGTGTCAGAGTATTGGCTGAAAGTGTTCACAAAGTGCCCCACTTCACCAACCCACTATCTAGAGGCAACGGTTCTGGGCCTTTTTTTTTTTTTTTAAAATGATAAACATACACATATTCTATATTAAGGGAAAGGGGATCTAAGGGAAAGAGGTTCAAGGAAAATCCTGAAGGGATTGAACTATCATTGACCCAAACGGGTGCCTACGCAACTGCTAACGACATTTCTAAGAAAGTCTGGATATTAGAATGTAGGTGAAGGGATTTAATCCCTTTTAAAGCTTTCTTGGTGGTCAACTGTTCTAGAAATAGTTGATTTTATGTGCCATTTTTGTGCTTCATGCCAGTTTGCAGTTTCTGTTTATTCTATGTGATGTCAATTTGCATGTGAATGACTTCATCTCAAACTTTTACTTAAAAATAGATAGCTCAAAGTTATGTGGAAAAGAAAAGGCCAAAAAATGAGAAAGTAGAAATTCATGTAATAGAAGAAAAGGTATATCAAAATGGGCATTAGCTAACCAATGAAGAAAGCATAACCAATATCAAAAATAAATTTGGGAAGGTGCCTAGAAATTAAATAAAGAACATATAATTGTTTTAGAATTTGGCATTTTATTTGCTAGATTCTTAAAAGCTAGAAGTTACCTAATCATGTTCTAGAAAAACTACTACCAAAATAAGATGAAGAGAAATTCTTGGGTGAATCTGGACTATGTTTCCACTTGTGGAATTTATGGTTACTCAAATGTCTTGAGTCATGAACATCATTCATAATATAACATTAGCCTAACCCACATTGCTGATGTAATATGACGTCACATTATTAACTTGGGCTCTTGGGTTGGGTGCAGTAGAAAATTTTTTTAGTTGAGGACACAATCACAATAAGGTTCTTTGTGAAAAGCACTGCACAATATTGAAATAATTATAACAAGTAATAACAAGCAATTATCAAAGATCAATTAAAACGACCAGAAAAATATAGCATTAATGATCTACAAAAGCTCGCTAGTAAATTAAGTCCCTTAATTGTATTGAGTTTGCCCATACAATCATCATCAAGTAATGAATAATGTCCATACAAAAGCGCACTAATGCCCCCACTAAACATTTACTTTTTTGTTGGATGGAGTACATGATGCTCATTGACTCTAAAAATTCTTCTGTCCCATTAAAAAAATGTTGTATTTTGCATTTTGAAATGTCTTAAATATTTGTCATGTCGAGAAAAATAAAGCACATTTTAGTCTCTTTTTTCAATACAGTCCCTTCCTTTGATTATATGCATATTACTATTCAAATTCAAAATTTGAAATTTTGAGGGTAAGATTAGAAAGAAAAGCACAAATATTGCAATCAAACCGCTATTATTTAAAAGTTGCATTCCTTAAATATAACAAAATAATTGGGACGGAAAAAGTACTGCTCTCCACAAAAAACACTTTAAAAGCGTACCTCACATTTCAAAGTACAAAATAACCTAACTTTTTTAGAAGCTGAAACAATTTAATGTTCAAGCACAGGATATATTATCCTAAACTTCTTGAAAGAAATCCCACTTAAAATTTTAGTCGTGAACATGGCAAAAATTTAAAATGGTGAAAACTACATCACGTTAAAACAATTTTATTTTTTATTTTTTTTATAAGTGAGAGGTCTTATATTTATTATCTTTTATTTATAATTTTTTTCATCTTACCGTCCAATTTGACTCTCCCAAAACAATTTTACATTTGATGAGACTACAAGATGAAAATCAGATTCTTCAATTTCTACTGACGCTTGAATTTGCTACACCTCATCCTGCTTCACCAAATTTGGGTCCTTACGCTGTCTAAAAGCTGGGCTGAAAAGAAGAGTACAACCCACTCCAAATCCAAAGTGGCCTGATAATTTCAAGTCCAGATTTACGTATAAGCCGCTCTTTGACATCTGAGTTTAAGATTTCTATTAGCCCGCGAAGGTTTTGGTCCAGTCACAACCTTAGGTTTTGCGTTTTAACTGAAAATTAGTTTGGACTCCTTTACTTGTGTCTCTTACTTAAAAATTAGATTCGTTTGGATTGGCATATTTTTCAAATATAATATTACAATAATACATAAATAAAAAAATTTAAAAAACATCTCTTTCATACAATATATCAAATATTTCAAAAAATGTAAAAGTTTTTCATATTCACTGTTACAGTAAAATATTTCAAAAACATTTCTCAAAAACAACTAATCCAAATGGAGCGAAACTCTTTAGCAAAATCAGTCTTATTGCCATTTGGAGTTTGCCTAGCTGGTAAAACTCCTTCAATCATTCTTTCTGGTATTTAAAGATTATCTTATTGACAAAATTTTTCTGTTAATTATCAGAGTCGAATTCGAGTTGAGATCCAGATACCAATTCATTCTAAGATTTCAGCTAATATCACCATCTTAAAATGGAAAATATCCTTATATAACCACCACGTTCCTTACCTTTTCTTTCCCCACACTGCTCTTGCTCTCTGTTTTTTGGCTTCATTGGCACCCAGAATGAGTTAATGAATATTAAACTCTCTTATATCATACTTTATAATTTCTTTCCATCAAGACTTCAAATCTTCAACATTGACAGAGTATTACTTAAAATAATATTCTTTAAGTGAAACAACAATCATTTCCTCCTTTCAACATTCTTTACCCTTTTCTTTGGGTATTACCATTTCTTGAATTTTGCACTCCATCACTATGTAGTGGTGTCTACTAACCCAAAACCCCTAAATAGAAAATAAACATCCATGATTCTGCATAAAAGAGCTAGAGTGGACCACCCACGTACACATAAAGAAATGGACGCCAGAACTAAAGGTACCTTGCTCTCTCTTGGCACTGCACTTTCGGCGTTCTCACATATTTGGATCAAATAAATTATAAATGGAATGGAATCTCTAGTATTCCCCTTCATCCATACACCCCCCACCCCCCTCCCTCCCCCCGAAAAAAAAAAAAGAGGAGGAGGGAAAATGCAACTTTATGTATTCTTCCAATAATTTTATTTTTTTTGTTCAGTGGGCTGATTATTTTTCCTAATCCAACATAATAATTGATAGGACTACACATATCACATATGTGCTCATTATTTTTGTGGACATCCGGAATGCCAAATTCAGCCTAAATTATTCTACTTCAAGTGATAATTGAGAAAAAAACGTTTATGAAAACAATTCGATATATAGCAAAACAAATATTTTTATAGTCCTTTCCAAAAAAACAAATGTTTTATAGTCTATAGTATAATCTGCATATAAGCCGGCCTAGAAACATGTGTAATAAGAGGATTGAGGAGCAGTGCATTGGTATAGGTTTATTAATGGAGATTTTAGTTTTATTAAGAAGTCTATTTCAGTATTCCTAGTTTGTTCAGATGATGTCTCATATTTTGAGCAAACACTTTTGTTTTAAATATGCAGGTATGAGCCCTTTTCTCTCTTTTTTTTCATTGTTTTCTCGAAGCAAAGATCTTATTTCGTAGTTTTTATACATTTAAATGTTCAAGCCTAAAAAGATGGTTAAAGTAGTGGAATGGCATTATACCACCATTAAGATATATATGGTTTTGATGTTTCTCTAAATAAAGCACCCCCTCACTATCTTTATCTTTTCTCGGCTTCAACATCAATCATGATATACTGAAAAAAGATGTGTTACCTAATAACGGATAAGGGTCTCCAACGGTTTGTCACAAAACCGTTTGAACCGATTTTGTGCAAAATGCACAAGATATAATTTGGTATGTATATGGTGTAACTCACTTTCAATAACGTGTTACTATAAAAACAAAATTTTAAAAACTCCACACATAGTGTGAAAAACGATGTACAAGATGCAATTTGGACCTTACATTTTTTTTAGCCAAATTTTGGCCATGAACCTTCAGGAACAGTTGCTTCCTGCAACCGTTGCTGTCCCTTCTCCCCCAATAACCATGGCAATTGTAAGTAGTTCTACAACTAAGTTACTCTTATTTCTTCCACATTTGTAGTCCCAAGTTTGGTCGAAAATTTCACCTATGATCCTGGTGATACATGGGGCAGGATTAACAACATTCATCACAGGTTATATAAAACCGAGCTATTTGTTTTTCCTGATCATATTGGTTACCTTCCTTGGTTGTTTGCGCTTACAGACAGACATATCTTACGTGACTTGTGCAGTTTTCCTCTAGTACTCCACTACTATTGGTGCCGTCTACTACCAAGTTGATCAATTGGCTAGCTAGGGCAGCTTTTCCAAGTGAAGAACCTCTTTGTTACCTGGATAATTATCTCCTCAAAAGTTGACATATTTCCAGAAGCATCTTATGGGAGCACCAAAATTCGTTCTATCTAAAATAGTGGAATCTTTTTTTTTTTTTTGGCCTCCTCCCACCCCTCTTAGCACCCTTTTTATCCCAGTTATCAGCTCAAGATTTGAATTTTGAATCTCACAATGAAAAGATTTTAAGATCCATCATCTGATCACTGAATAGTAGATCTAAGTGTCATGCAAACCTCAACATTTGTATTAACTTTTTATCCAATTATCCGTATTAACTCCCCCCACCCCCCTCCCCCCAAAAAAAGGAAAAAAAGAAAAATGTCTACGACCGTATTACCAGTCATCAAATTCTAGCATCTGTGGACATGACGAACAAGAAAGAAGGTCGGACTTAGTTTTGTTTCAGAATCCTTAAAGAACGTTAAGTAATCAATGTGGTCTCTCTAATTGGAGACATTCTTTCCAATTAAATAAAAAAAAAGGTGCTGGGGCCACTGTTTGGATCGTGCAGGCTAACTGCTCTTTCTAAATGCCCTTTTGAGGGATGCATCAGATCACTGGAGACTCTAAAAGAGAAGAACCGTCGAGAGAAATCCAGATTAGATCTCTCAAGGGCCCAGGAAAATTAGTACTTCAGTACAACGAAATCATGAATTGAAGT